AAAAAAAAAAAAAAAAAGAAGATTCTTGCACACCAATGTTCACTGCAGTACTATTCAAAATACTCCAAAGGTAAAAACAGTCCAACTGTCCACCAACAGATGAGTAGATAAATAAAATGTGGTCTATCCACTCAATGGAGTATTGTTGCTGTTGTTAAGTACCGTAGATTCGGTTCCGACTCATAGTGACCCTGCACAGAGTTTCCGAGGCTGTCAATCTTTACCGGAGTAGAATGCCTCATCTTTCTCCCACAATGGAGTGTTACGCAGCCACAAAGAAAAACGAAGTCTTGCCACATGCTGTGATATGGGTGGGCTTGAAAACATGCTGAGCAAAATAAGTCAGACATAAAAGAACAAATATTTTATGATCCCAGTTATTTGAAATATCTAGAAAAGGCAAATGCATAGAGAAAAACGTTTATTAGTGGTTACCAAGGGCTGTGGAGGGGAAGGTCAATAGGGATTTATTGCTTAAGGAGTGCTGAGTTTCTGTTTAGAGGGATGAAAAACATTTGGAAACAGTGCTGATGGTTATGCAACATGGAGAATGCAGGACAACCATCTGAAATGTACAATTAAGAATAATTAAAATTAAAAAACCGGATTGTTACATGATTTAACCACAATTAAACTAAAGGTATACATGAGCAAATCAAATACAGCAATTCATAAAAAGAAAACATTACATGAGCAAGTGGATTTCTGAAAGTTGTTTTCTTTGACATGTTAAAAATATATCAATTTGCCAAATTCATACAATAAAGGGGGAAAAAATCACATAATCATATCTGTAGTTTCAAGACAGTGATAAAATTCCATACTCACTCATGAGTTCAGAATAGAAGCTAATAAAAAGGGAGTCTACAAAAAGTCTATGGATACCTTAAGGTTTAAGAGTTGTACACTAAAATCTTTCCCGGAACATGGAGAACAAGTTAATGATGTTTCTCTTACCTAGCCACTACAATAACGCATGGAGACAAAATTAAACACGTATAATTTGGAAAAGAAAAAATAAAACTGTTTAGATTCAGAGATTACATAATCACATGCTGAAGAATGGTAGAAAAATCAACTAAAAAGGTATTAAAGCTAAAAAGTGAATTTTGTAAATTTATGTAATGGAAAATTAACATTCAAAAATCATGTAAACATTAATATAGTAGCAATGAACAACAGGAAAATAAGATTCTAAATGAATGCCATTTACAGCACATTTGCAAATCTTTAATACCTCTTGTTTATTAAAAATTTCTATGCTACATAAATCTGGAGGCTGTGTTTTACATAAAACTGGAACTGAAAGAGAAAACCATTTTATTCCTACAGTTAAAAGCTACAATTGTGCAATTATTGCGAAACAAATGTGAATTTTATAAAGCTTGTAGGGAAAGAGAAATTTATGATATGGCACTTTAGGATAAGCACTGGACTACTGACCACAAGGTTGGCAGTTTAAAACCACCAGCGGCTCCAGAGAAAACCTATACAGGGTCTCTGTGAGTTGGAACCAACTCCACACCACTTAACAACAGTAACAAATAGGGTGCTATGAGTTGGGATCTATTCTAAGTCAGTTGTTTTTTGGTATATGGCTGAAAGATGAGGCTTTTTGCTCCTGTGAAGAACATTTAAAGCCTCAGAAACCCTATACCGGATTGCAATGATTGAAGATGAAAAGGAAAACAAAAATTATTTATTTCCAAGGAGTGACTGGTGGGCTTGAATCACCAACCTTATAGTTAGCAGTCCAGTGCTTATCCTTCACTACCATACCAGGACCCCAACAACGTATTGTAGTTGTTGTTAAGTGCTGTCAAGTCGATTCCAACCCATAGTGACCCTGTATAGGGTTTCCAAGGTTTGCAAACTGGTGAGCTTGAACCACCAGGCTTGCAGTTCAAACGACTTTGCAGTCTGAGGCATTAGCACACAGCACCACACCAGGACTCCACCCAAAAACCTATAGGACAGAGTAAAACCTCCCTAGGGTTTCCATAAATCTTTACAAAAGCACACTGTCACATCTTTTGCCCATGAGGCGGCTGGTTTGAAAGGCTGACCTTTCAATCAGCAGTCCAATACGTAACTCTCTGCACTACCAGGACTCCTTTTGCATGTAGTACAGTTAGTGTATATTGTCATGTTCATTGATTCAGTTAATAATTGAACCCCCATTTTGCTCCAGGCACTGTTCTAGGCCTATGGATGGATACATAAGTGAATTAAACAGCTGGTCTTGGGTGGGCTTCCATTCAGAGATCAAATGGTAGACTCTCTTCCTTCTTCCCACACATTATAACATATGCAAATCATTGTGTGTTTCCTTCCCTTTCCCACACTTTTCATGCAAAACTTTTTCAAGAAGTAATGAATGCTGAGCTGAGACTGTATTTTCAGAAATACTTGAAGACTGAGTTATAATATCCTGATATCCTGAAAAACGCTGCACATGAAGTAGATGCGATGAAAAATTGACAACAGAAAAACATACTCATTTAGGAATGCAAGAAAGCATTCACTAGACAGAGTAGCCGGACTTGTTACAAAGGTAAAAGACTCATATTGTTGTTGTGTACTGTCCCACGGAGACTCCATGTGTCTGAGAACTGACCCATAGGGTTTCCTGGGCTGTCATCCTTACAGGACTAGATCACCAGGTCTGTTTCCTGTGGAGCTACTGGAGGGTTCCAACCGATAACTTACTGGTTAGCAGTCAAGCACTTAACCACTGCACCACCAGGGCTCCTTTTCCCCATCTAACCAACTCTTTTACAATGTGGGATATCGGGAGGGAACAGAGAATTAAAGCAGTCTGCTGCTACCCAAAAGGTTGGGAGTTCGAGAACACCGAGAAGCACCTCAGAAGAAAGGCCTGGCAATCTCTTGAAAAGCCAACCACTGAAAACCCTATGGCACCTAGTTTACTCAGACACACAACATGAGTCAGATTCACTCCAGCAGCAATGGGGGCTTTTTTTAAAATGTATTTCTTTCCATTTTTTTTTTTTTTTCCAGTTTGGAAATATGTACTAGTGCCAATGTTGTGCTAGTCTTTGCTTCAAGTGCTGAGACAGAGCAGTGAACAAGGGGCACCTGGTGCCTGCCCTCAAGACGATCACATTCCACTGGGGGAAGATGTACAGACTTTTTAAACAGTATAAGCATCTCAAGCAGTATTATATGCTGGGAGGACAATCTGCCAGGGAGTTAGGACCCATCGAGAGAGGTGGGCTCTGAAACCAAATGAAAAGAGAGAGTTACTTCTTCCGTTCTTTGTCCTTCTTTATGTTGGTGCCCGACTGGGCCTGCAAGGATTCAGACGCCGCTTTCGTTTTATAAAAATCGATGATTTCTTCTTCCAGTTGTCTTCTCTCTTCTTCAAGTTTCACTGTCTCCTCTTCCTGGATTCTTTTAAGGTGCTCAAATTTTTCCTGTAGCTAAGATATAAATAAGGAAGTCCCCAGGTTATAAACATCTGATGTAAGTTGTTAGGAACCAACCCCTGTAAAGTCTATTATGTTAAGAATAAAATTTCAAGGCACACATGATATGCTGGTTCATAATAACATATGGGCGCCACTTACACACACCAAAACATTATTATTATATTTTTATGTTAAACATGTTTTAGTGTATCTGAAAGTGTTTAATGTTTTTTATGCTTAGGAAGGCATACTATATACAAAATTCAAAATTTTTGTGAAAAAACAGAATAAAGATATAATATAATTTTCCCTTAAATTTTGAGACCAACTTGTACTAAGACAAAACATTTAACTAACTGATGTTACATATGAACTGTAGCTAGCTGTTCCGATTTATGTACAAATATGCCTTTACAACAGATTTAGGAATGGAACTTGTTGGTTTTCCAGGGACTGCTGATACGCAGTTGTGAATAATGGTACAATGTGGTGCCACATTCCTGGGAATAACCTTGTCATTTCCCCCAGTGATCAAGCACACTCAAACCATCACAGAAGACTTTGAAATTAGCAACAGTTTCAAGATTTCATGTGCAATTCATATACAGAATATAAATGACTTTATTTTAAAATGAGTTACCATACAAAATGATTGAATCAGATATGATCAAATCCACAAGTATGCACAAGATACAATACTAAAAACATTTGACTCCTAAGGAGGTGAATTTCTCACTCTACATTTTCCCCGCAAAATAACTTTAAATAATCTTTGTTCAATCCATACTCATCAAAAGAAAGCATGAACTATGACGCAGTTAGTTGTTGAGATTTTCATTGTAAAGATCTTTGAAAGATTGTTTGATATTTTCCTTGTCAAGTGAAATTAGCAGAAGTGTAGAAAGAAACAAAGCGTCAAGGTTCCCATTCAATTACCTTTTTTTCCTCAGGAGATTGTATATAATCTATGGAGCTCAAAATCAACATGATCCACCAAGTGAAAGAGACAGTGTAGGCGTGGATGTCAAAAGAGGCAGGCCTGGGTCTTTGATGTTACATTATACTACAATGATTATTCCCAAGTAATTGTTTGTATGCATCCTAGATGATGTGTTGATCAAAGGTATGCTAGCAGAAAACTTGGAGAGACCACCAACTGGAAGAAATGATGCTGAACCGTTTTTTCCCAGACCACACTTACATCTTACAGTTAGGGTATGTCGCCCTGTGCTCTCCTACTTACATGAAAGGAACCTCTGAACACCTGTCATATTGTTCTTTGATTGATACCAACATCTGTACTTCTCCACTAGATGGAAAAATGCCTAGGGGCGAAACTCACTGACTCCACACTTCAAATGCAACAAAGATATGGATTTTTCTCCTTTATTTTTACAGCCATATAAGGAGAATGGACTTCTGGTATGGCACTGTGGATCAGCACTAGACTGCAAACCACAAGGCTGGCAGTTCAAACCTACCAACTCCTCCTCAGAAACCCTATACAGGGTCACTATGGACAGCACATAACAATAGCAACATCATAAGGAGCATGGTTAGAGGAAACACTGAGTCACTGAATCTTCCTAAGGGTCTGTCCTGGGGAAAATGCTTTAGGACAGGTAGATAAAAAGGGACAAAACGCCACAATATCCCCCTAGGCAGAGCTATTAAAACCTTATTCATGAGTTTTGCTCATCACTGTCCATTTCAAATACACTATTGTGTCATTGTTTCCAACCTTGTCTTATCATAGCTGTGTGCTATCAAGTCGATTCAGGTTCACAGTGCCCCATAGGTTTTTCTAGGCTGTAATCATTACAGGAATAGATTGCCAACTCTTTCTCCTGCCTTGTATCACAAATACTATTGCTCAAAAAAGGATTTACAGAAGGAAAGACATTTTCTAATGCAGTAGCAGGGTTAGAAAGTGTATGGCTCAGAAGCTGATACCTTAAGTTTGCAATACATTAAACTTTATATGGTGGCATAATGGTTAAAGCACTTGGCTGATTACCAAATATCCGCGGTTCAAACCCACCATTGGCTCCAAGGTAGAAAAGACCTGGCAACCTATTCCTTAAAGCCAACAGTTGAGGAAATCTTGTGGGGAGTTCCACTCTGCTTGATAAGGTACGCTATGAGTCAGAATCTACCTGACCATATACAACAACACACAAGAATCCAAATGATAAAGGATATAAAGGACAAGGATGGGCAACTTGGACACTGACTACCCAAAATGGGGGGTGCCTACAAAGACAAGAAGTGACTGGCTTACAAGCTTTCAAGAGGGAACCTAGATCCAGAGGGCA